CCTCGTCAGTCTTGATAGGCCGGCCTGTCAAGTCACCTGCCGGGCTTGGAGCCCGAAAGAGAGGACCTGTCCAATTACCACCCAAAGGCAGGCCAATGTCAGCGCAAACTTGAACGAAAGCCTTGCCCCAGCTTGCATCACTCAAACCAAAAACCGGAGCCACCAGAATAAGTGGAATTCCCAGCGCAGCCGTGACACGAACAGACTTGTGATCAAATGTGTGCACCTCAATGAAGCCAGCTCTGGCCGAGCCCTCGACTATATCCGCGAAGTGAGAGCTCACGTTCCGCACATCTGACACACGTGCTCTGCTGTAGAGCAAGAAAAGAATACAGCCCGCTCCATACCTGTCTGTCAGGCTGAACCTTCCATCGATCAGAATGCATTCCAGAGTCAAGACCTCTTGCACAGTCAGCACACGGCTTTGCTTGCGTTCCTTGCATACGAACTGAGCTCCGCGCACAATGCCCGAAATCCATGGGGTCGTCAGAGCGTCGCCACCCGACATCCCCAAAACGTGCCGACAGAAATTGACTGTTTGCATGAAATCCTTGACCGCACCCATCATGCCATTTTCCTTCAAATGTCGTAGATATGCAAACAAGCTCTGCTTTGTAACCGGAAAAAATTGCTGATCCGGCCCAAGATAGCCCTCACAAAACTTCAAGTATCTCAGAAAAGACAAAGCTCGTTTTCGCAGAGTGCTGGTGGCCTTTCCCGAGAAAACGTCCCTGATGAAGGATACCTGTTCTGCAACGCTCGAGCACTCTGCAATACTTGCACCACATGCAGTTGCGTCCGAGTTGGAACGCAATATAGCCAACCAACGCTTGCAAACCACCTCACGCGATACATCATCCGATGCAGGCGTCCAAGCAGATCTGAAGGATATGCAGCTGTCAAAAATTGTTTCACCACCATGCGAAATACCATGTCCTTCCGTTCCAACTGTAACTCCAGCATCTGGTTCAGCATTGCGTGGATCCAAATGTTCTATTCTGGGAACCATTGTTGGAAAGCTAGGCAAACTATGCCTAGCAGCTGTTCCAAACACTTCAGCCATGACGCCCTTCTCCCAGGGTAGCGCAGGCCGCTCCACCTTAGAGTGTTTGACCTTTGCTTCAAAGAAGGCTCTCGAAAGATCCCTCTTGGTCGGTTGAGCATCTCCAGCTGGCGTCCCTTTAGAAGCAACACCCGGAAATGTCGGTGAAGCAATGTTCGCACATTCTACACCGGCTCGCTGTCCACGTCCAGGTTCTTCCAAAGGAATACCAGGAGATTGCATTTCACTGTCCGCGACGAATCCCTGAAGAAATTCATCCAGGCTTTCATCGCATGCCATTGCACCCCCCTGTTGCAAAAAGTTCACTGCTGTTCAGTGCGTTGCAACAAAGGGGAACCCACCACACCCACCCACTCGAGAAGAATGGCAACGACGGCGCCATTTATCATGCATAAATGACAAAACCTTGTTTGGAACAAACAAAGCAAGTCACAAGGGAATCCACCAACACCATAGTGAATTCCCTGCACGGGAAAACAAAAAGGGGGCTCAGAAATAAAGACACATCCACCTTTGGTTGACGTTAGTCATCTTCTATTTCCAAGCTATCTGACTGCGAGGCTTCTTAGTGTAGGTGCGTGCATGCAGGTGCGTGCGCGTGCGCGTGCGCGTGCTCGGGCGCGGGCGCCGGCGCGCCCGCGCGCCCGCCCGCTGGTGTAGGTGTGGGTGTGGGTGTGGGGGTGTGGAGGTGTGGGGGTGTGGGGGTGTGGGGGTGTGTGTGGGGGTGTGTGTGGGGTGTGTGTGGGGGTGTGTGTGGGGGTGTGTGTGGGTGTGTTTGTGGTTGGGGTGTGGGTGTGTGTGTGTGAGGGTGTGTTGTGTGTGTGGGGTTGTGTGGTGGTTTGTGTGTGTGCGAGGTGGTGTGGGGTGGTGGGTGGGGTGTTTGGGGGAGGGTGTGTGTGTGTGGGTGGGTGAGTGGGTTGGTGTGGTGTGTGTGGGTGTGGGCGGGTGTGTGTGGGTGTGTGGGGTGTGATTGGGGGTGTGGCGGGTGTCGGTGGGGGTGTGTTGGTGGTGTGTGGGGGTGTGTGGGGGTGTGTGGGGTGGGTGGGGGTTGTGGGGGGGTGTGGGGTGTGTTGGGGGTGTTGGGGTGTTTGGGGTGTGTGGGGGTGTTGGGGGTGTGTGGGGTGTGTGGGGTGTGGGGGTGTGTGGGGGGTGTGTGGAGGGGTTGTGGGGTGTGTGGGTGGTGGTGGGGGTTGTGTGGGTGGTGTGTAGGTGTGTGGGGGTGTGTGGTGGTGTGTGGGGGTGTGTGGTTGTGAGTGTGGTGTGTGGGGAATGTGGGTGTGGTGTGGGGTGTGTGTGGTGGTGGGGTGGGGGTGGGGTGGGGGTTGTGTGGGTTGTGTGTGGGTGTGTGGTGGGTGTGTGTGGGTGGTGTGTGGGTGTGTGTGGTTGTGTGGGGGTGTGTGGGGGGGGGTGTGGGTGTGTGTGGGTGTGTGTGGGTGT